CCCCCCCCCAGCAGACCAGGGAGACGCAGAGCAGCTTTTCTCGTCCCGGAGGACGTGGGCGGTGGGACCGGGCGTCCCGTCGCTCCCGTCATCCGGGGCGAGAAAATCCCTGTTCGTAACTGCGGATCCGACATAAGTCGGATCCGCGTAACTCGGGGACTGCCTGTACATGGCCTGAAACAATAGCTATTGAATTAAATGAATGAACCCAATGGACTTTGTCAAACCCACATTATGCAATACCCAATAGCAGGCAATGGAAACCCCTAAAGCATAAAAGTATGTAGCAAAAATCTGCTACTCTCACCCACATATATCCATTTTTTAATTTTATTCTTTTTATAGAAACATAGGAATCGACAGATTAGATCAGACCTGAGTTCCAGATAGTTTGGTATCCCATCTTGGCAATGGCCAGCACCAACTGTTTCAGAGAAGGTATAGGATATCCTGCACTAGACAATTGTGTGATAATCTGCCCACATCTTATGCAGAGATTGGCTTACATATTTGACTGTGTGATTTTACGTCCTTCCAAAGTTGTTAGCATTAACTACTATAAGTCTATCAGTGTTATCCACCTAAATATCACATCCTTTTTCTAATATTATATTTATGCATTGTTTGAAAAAGTACTTTTTATATTTTTAATAATTTATGAAGTTGGCACCTTTTCATTGCATTGAATGCCCCTTCAATCATGAGTAATGAGACAGGTACAGAAAAATCTCCCAACCTACCTTCTCTAAACTATAATTATTCTACATACTTCTATCATGCCCCCATTTATTTGTCTCCTTCCTGAGGCAGACAATCACAGCCCTTTCAGTGTCTCTTCATATGAGAGATTTTCTGTAACCATGATCAATTTAATCATCTGTCTTTGGAACCTCTCTAGTTCTGAAATATTATTTTGAGATGGGTTGAGCAGTGTTGCAGAGCTCATTCCAGAAGAGGTCGAACCATTGATTTATATATTCTCTGTATAATAATTTCTCTCTGATTCTCCACGAGGTTCCTCATGCATCCTATCATTCCTGTTTGTTTTGACTAGAAAGTAGCACGCTGAGCAACGTTCTCTCCTACATGGATACAGTTCATTTAGAATCCTGAAAGATTGTATCCCTCCACATTGTATTGCATTGCATTTATCATCATTGTACTTTATCTGCCATGCTGTTGTCAATTCACTTAGCTTGGCAAATTCGTTCTGAAGTTCCTCAGTTGTCTCAGAACCTAAATAACCTTGTGCCCCATTGGTGACTTTTATTACCTCCCTACTCCTCCCCCTTTCCAGAACTCATATATATATTGAAACATCACTGAACCCTTGAGGCACCCTGCTATTAAACTTCCAACATGATGAAAATTGACTATTTATTCCTACAAGCTGCTTCCCGTCTTAGTGTTTTTTTGTTTTCGTTTTTTTCCTTTTGACTTCTTCTGTTTTTTGGCAGACTCTAGTGAGGAACTTTGTCAAATGCCCTTTCAAAGCCTTGAAATATTATGGCAACCAGCTCTCCTTAAACATGCTATACTTTAAGGAAGTACAATAAAACGGCCTCACAATAGATATTGTATTTGTTAGCCAATGAATCCCTTAAGTAATTTAAAGGGATTATTGTAATGACTTAGGTAAAAAAATAATTTAAAATAAAAAGCCAAAAAGACCATTAAAATAAATGTGTTTGACTGTTCTCAATAGTCCCTAGTGGTACAATTATCTGAAGGGGGCTCAGAATAGGTTTCTTTCTGATCTGATTTGATACAGTTTTTTTATTAGAGTTATGACTGGCCCAAGTGTCCAGGTTGAAAATATTGCTTTCCCCTACTGCTGTGGAGTATACCATGTGCCACTGAGATGGTATCCTCCAACCCAAAGGTAAGTCTGTATTGCTACGTACACAGAATGCAGTCTGTCAAGTGCTCGGGAACCTGAGGGAGAAAAGCACTCTCTGAATATAGATATATATTCCAATAAATACTTGTGGCCTGTGTTATCCAGGGGGTCAAAGCAGAAGAGCACAATGGTTGCTTCTGACCTTCAAAACTATAAACAAACGCCATCATACATAAGCCCATGTTGTCTCTTCAGTTGATTTTATTCATTTTGGATGTGGCACTCAGTTTGGAAATTCTGGAAGCTGCTTATATTCTAGTTTACACTCATTTTATATCAGTAGGTCTCCACTGATTTCGGTGCAATTCATCTTGATTTCTACCAGCTCATGTGAATTAAGTTAAGTGCCAGATGCAGGGCATTTACACATCACATCCCTGACATTTCTTCCTCATCTGACAAGAATTGTATTTGTTCAGGCTCTGGAGGATCTTCTGGAAACACTGAGGTATACTCAAATATTATGAACTGGGTTTCAGAGGAACCAAGCAGCTGCAACATCAATTGCCTTGAAAGGAAGCTGAACTTTTGAAATGCAAGCCGTAAGAGTAACACTGATGCTGCATACAACTGCTGCATCTTTTACTGAATACGGATGGAGAAAGAAAAACCTCCTGACTTCGTGTGCATTTTAAAGAGCAAAGGCCAGTGAAAAATTACATCTACCCCAAGGTTGCGTCTAGACTGGCATGCTTTTGTGCAAATACTTTTAACGGAAAAGTTTTTCTGTTAAAAGTATTTGCGCAAGAGTGTCTACACTGGCACGGATGCTTTTGCGCAAAAGCAAATCTTTTGCGCAAAGGCACATGCCAGTATAGATGCTCTCTTGCGCAAGAAAGCTCCAATGGCCATTTTAGCCATCGGGCTTTCTTGCGCAAGAAATTAACGTGGCTGTTAAGAGGGCTGTTACACTGGCCCTCTTGCGCAAGAATACTTGCACAAGAGGGCTTATCCCTGAGCGGGAGCGTCAGAGTATTTGCACAAGAACCACTGATTTTGTACAGTACAAAGTCAGTGTTCTTGCACAAATACTCACAGCCAGTGTAGACAGGCGGCAAGATTTTGCGCAAAATCATGCCAGTCTAGAAGCAGCCCAAATGTATGTAAGGAACTATGTTTTATAACTGTACACTAAATATTAGCTTTGTACTATTTGTTTTCCCACAGTAGGTCAGTACTGGTGGTGGAGACAATGCCGAGTACAACTCATTCGAATTGCAGATCCCAACACTGGTACATGAGGAATACAATAGCTATAAAAGGTGGCAAGTGGGTAATCCCTTTCAGTCCATGCTGATCATTTCTTCTTCAGGATTTTTAGCATCCATCCACGTAGAATCATAGAATCATAGAACACTAGAACTGGAAGGCACCTTGAGAGGTCATCGAGTCCAGTCCCCTGCCCTCATGGCAGGACCCATTACTATCTGGACCATCCCTGATAGATGTGACTATCCCCGGGAGATGAGGATAAAAATATGATATCCTCAAAGGCCAATGTGTTAAAACTGTACTTTTGCTTTTAACATTATACACCTAATGGATAATGCTCTGAAAACTACAGGTTGAATCTCTCTAGTCCAGCACTCTCTGGTCCGGCAACATCCATAGTCCAGAATTATTTTAGTTAGGTAGGTGTCCACTTATCAAAGGTGTGGATAAGTTTCCTGGGGCCCTATAAAGTTTGTTTACAGCCACCAGTCCTGGCCGTCTATGTTCTGTGCTATTATTTAGCTTTAATTTAACCCTAAATATCTTCTAAGAGCCCAGTAAGCAGTGAATGTGTTGGTAATGCTGCTAGACAATATTGACCTCCCATGGTTCAGCAAATTTTCTGGTTAGGTACTGGTCAGATGCTGGACTAGTGAGGTTCAACCTGTAGTTAGTACTGTAATAGCAAAAGAGATTTTCTAAGTAAGAGATTTTTATTTATTTTATTTTGCAGTTGATAGCCTTAGTTGTTTTTATTACTTACCCTTGACAAGGTATTGTGTCCTGATCTATGATCCTTGACTCTTCTAGCTGTTGATATGCTGGTCCTGTAATTCCACTGAACCTACCCCGAGGTAAGGGTGGAGTCCGCCGAAAGGCATTCTTGTGTAGCATTCCACTTCTTTGTCCTGGGCTGCAGCATGAAGAGAGACTTCTGGGAAAAGAGCAAGAATACAGTTAAAAACTACCAGAGCCCCAACATAACAATGTATAGCGTAAGATTACAGAATTAATAATACATGAACTACAATATTATAACTTTGCTGTTGTCATTTGTGATGTCAGCTGCAGTTCTCCATGAAAATATAATGCTATAATTCTTTCTTTGCTGTTTATGCCATATTTAAATTTCAGTTTCTCTTTGAGGAATATAAATAAACAGTGGATTTTTTGTAATTTCTCTATTTGGTCAGATGCCCTTCTATTTTCTCATCATCATCCTGATACTTAGGGTCAGATAAACAGCTGAGGATCTGAACCTTAAATTTTAGGCATGTCTACCAATGCTTTATCAACTTGCACTGTCCACTTTAGTACCAACTCAGTTACCTTTTGTAGTGATGTGTTTTTCCTATTTTAGAAAATTGCAACCTTTTCATTTTTTTTTTTAATTTTAAGGGAGCTGAGAATTGTTCCCATTTACTGCATGAAACATAAGGGATCTGGAATCTAGATAAAGTTATTTTACATTAGAGCTGAATTCAGTTGTTGCTAATGCAAAAATAAGGAAACACACCATTAACCCACAAACTATTTCCATCATTAGCTGGTCACAATAGCATAGCCTCACTGACTTGTTTGTTTTCTGCTATACTTATTTGCAGTATCTCATCTGTGCATTTCCTTCATTATCAGTTAGTCTATGGCAAAATCTTATGGATAAAGCATAGAGTCAAACATAGTAAAAATCCTAAGTCAATTTCTCCAAAGATAGAAATTCTGCAATATAATAAGAAGAGTATAGCAGGATTAATATACTACAAAAAAACCTGCCCAGAATGGTGGCAGTGATTGTGAAAGGCTCACGGAGACAAGAGACAGAAAACTCAAAGAGCAGAAAACCTAATAATAATAATAATAATAATAATAATAATAATAATTTCTAGAAATCAGGAGAGGCTTCTCCTGGAACCCATGTGCAACTATCATATAATGAAATTTAATATCATTGTAGGGAGCAAATATAAAAAAAAATCCAGCACAGTAGCATTTAACTTCAAAAAAGAATGACACAAAAATGAGGAAGCTACTTAAATAGAAATTTAAATGAACAGTCACAAGAAGAGAAATGCCTGCAAACTGCGTGGATTTTTTTAATTTTTATTTTAATATATACCCCAAAATAAACAAACAAGAAGGAGAAGAAGTAGAAGGACCAAAAAAGTCACTACGTCCAGATTAGTAAGAGGCAATTTTTGAACCAAAAAAATAAATCTTTTAAGAATTGGAAGTCAAATCCTCTTGAGGAAAACAAAAAGAAGCACAAACTCCAGCAAGTCAAGTGAAAAAGCAAAATTAGGCAGGCCAGAAAAGAATTTAAAGAGACACTACAAAAACTAATATTGCATATATCAGATATAGGAAGGCTGCCAAACATGTGGGGCCACTGCACAATCAAGGTGATAAAGAAGAACTTAAGGAAGATAAGGCCATTGGGGAGAAGCTTTGTACATTAATAGCCTCAATCTTCACTGCAGAGCGTGGGAGAGAGATTTCCACACAAGAGCCATTTGTTTAGGTGACAAATCTGAGGAACTATCCCAGATTTATTGGATGTAATCTTGGAACAAACTGATAAATTAAACAGTCATAAGTCACCAAGAGCAGATGGCGTTCACTCAAGAGTTCTGGAGGAATATTAAATTGCAGAACTACTTGTGGTCTGCAGACTATTACTTCAATAAGCCTCTCTACCAGATATTTGGAGGATAATGAATGTAATATCGATTTTTTAAAAAAAGCTCTAAATGCAATCCTTGCAACTAGAGACAAGTAACTTTAACCTCGGAACCAGACTATGAATACAACATGTTAAGGAAGATTAAACAAGGTTTTTAAAGGAAAATCATGCCATACCAATCTATTAGAATTCTTCGAGGGAGTCACAACAAGCATGGAGACAAGGGTGATCTTGTAGATAAAGTGCATTCCGACTTTTAGAAAGTCTTTAACAGGGTTCCTCACCAAAGGCTTTTAAGCAAAATACGCAGTCATGGCACAAGAGGGAAGGTCCCCTCTCATGGTTCATGAACTGGTTAAAAGATAGAAAACAAAGGATAGGAATAAAGGGTCAATTTTTCACAGAAGAGAGAGCTAAATAGCATGGTCCACCAGTGATCTGTACATAGACCTGTTCTGTTCAACATATTCATAAATTATCTGGAAAAAGGGGTGAAAATGAATTGGCAAAGTTTACAGATGATAAAAAATTCTGCAAGATAGTTAAATCCAAAGATATCTGTGAGAAGTTGCAAAGGAATCTCACAAAACTGGAGGTGTGTCTAGACTACAGGGTTTTGTCGACAAAAGTGGACTTTTGTTGACAAAACTATACTTGCGTCTACACTGCTGCTGAGTTCTGTCGACAATGTTCTCTGACTACCAAAAGCTGGGAATGGATAACAGGGAAGTTCATTCCCTATGAAGTATCTGGAACTGGCCACAGTTGGAAGACCAACTATTCGGCTACATGGACGAAATACATGTATTTGAAAGAAGTGTAACTTTTTGCTAGACGCATAAACCCAGTCTCTGATGCAATTCAGACAACTGCTTTTATATTTGTTCTTCCATTTGTAGTACTTTCATTAAAAGGAGCTTCTCTTTGTATGAAATGTGATCTTTATTTTTTTGCTAGGGCTGCACTTAAAATCAAATTTTCCTCCCTGAAGTAAAACAGATGTTGCCTTCAAAAGTTATCTGTCTTGTTTTCTCTTCAAGTAGCTATTCTCCCACTCATATTAGAAACTTCCTATATTGTTCTCCAGCCCAGGCTCTGCCACTTTTTTAATTGAAAAGATAAACAACCTGTAGCGATAATAAGGGCTTTTCAACAATCTCCTTAAACTTATTTTTTCCGTAGCCAATGAGAACTCTAGGGAACCATTCTTAGAAACGTTATGTGGGCTGAAGTACTAGACTTTTGATTCTTAAGACTGGGGTTTAGCTCTCAAAATATATTAATGGGAAATGAGTTTTACTCTCTCAGCTTCCTCCTTTGTGAAAATTTATTCTCCTTACACGACTACAAAACAATCAACAATCTGAGCTTGGACTCTGAGGAGGGAGCCTGAAAAGGTACAGCCAACTGAATAATACATAGTGGATAATTTCTTCTTTCATGGTGAAAAAAAATGTGGATATATCAGTGCCCGCCAATTCGTTATTCTTTTTTAAACTCTTTGTGGAATATTTTACTCTCAAAACTGATCATAGATATTTGAAATGGAGGCTGTATCACTTAGTAGTGCGTGATCACCTAAGTCACACACTATTTTTCCCCTGTTCTGATTGGATGAGAGTGTGGAATTTTCCACACAAAAACCTGCATATGAAATTTAACAGTTTATTTCTGGGAATGTTTTCAAATGTGCAGGTGAAATTCTCTTTCCTAGGATATTTTTGTAAGTAAGAGGTGATTGATCAAGTCTTTCTGATTATGTGCACAAAAAACAAATGTGAACTTGAGAAAAACCAATTCATTAATGAGTTCCATCAAATATTTGCAGAAAAGTATTTACATTAGCTGCCCATTTCTTGCTGCAGGTCAGACTAGAAGGGACCTCAAGAGGTCATCGAGTCCAGCCCCCCGCCCTCAAGGCAGGATCAAGCTCTGTCTACACCATCCCTGACAGATGTCTATCTAACCTGTTCTTAAATATCTCCAGAGAGGGAGATTCCACCACCTCCCTTGGCAATTTATTCCAATATTTGACCACCCTGACAGTTAGGAATTTTTTCCTAATGTCCAATCTAAACCTCCCCTGCTGCACTTTAAGCCCATTACTCCTTGTCCTGTCCTCAGAAACCAAGAGGAACAAATTTTCTCCTTCCTCCTTGTGACACCCTTTTAGATATTTGAAAACCGCTATCATGTCCCCCCTTAATCTTCTTTTTTCCAAACTAAACAAGCCCAGTTCATGAAGCCTGGCTTCATAGGTCATGTTCTCTAAACCTTTAATCATTCTTGTTGCTCTTCTCTGTACCCTTTCCAATTTCTCCACATCTTTCTTGAAATGTGGCGCCCAGAACTGGACACAGTACTCCAGCTGAGGCCTAACTAGTGCAGAGTAGAGCGGCAGAATGACTTCACGAGTTTTGCTTACAACACACCTGTTGATACAACCTAGAATCATATTTGCTTTTTTTGCAACAGCATCACACTGTTGACTCATATTCAACTTGTGGTCCACTATGACCCCTAGATCCCTTTCTGCCATGCTCCTTCCTAGACAGTCGCTTCCCATCTTGTATGTATGGAACTGATTGTTCCTTCCTAAGTGGAGCACTTTGCATTTCTCTTTATTAAACCTCATCCTGTTTACCTCTGACCATTTCTCTAACTTGCTAAGGTCATTTTGAATTATGTCCCTATCCTCCAAAGAAGTTGCAACCCCACCCAGTTTGGTATCATCTGCAAACTTAATAAGCGTACTCTCTATCCCAATATCTACATCATTGATGAAGATGTTGAACAGTATGGGTCCCAAAACAGACCCTTGAGGAACTCCACTTGTTATCCCTTTCCAGCAGGATTTAGAACCGTTAACAACAACTCTCTGACTACGGTTATCCAGCCAATTATGCACCCACCTTATCGTGGCCCTATCTAAGTTATATTTGCCTAGTTTATCAATAAGAATATCATGCGAGACCGTATCAAATGCCTTACTAAAGTCTAGGTATATGACATCCACCGCTTCTCCCTTATCCACAAGGCTCGTTATCTTATCAAAGAAAGCTATCAGATTAGTTTGGCATGACTTGTTCTTCACAAACCCATGCTGGCTATTCCCTATCACTTTATTACCTTCCAAGTGTTTGCATATGATTTCCTTAATTACCTGCTCCATTATCTTCCCTGGGACAGACGTTAAACTGACCGGTCTGTAGTTTCCTGGGTTGTTCTTATTCCCCTTTTTATAGATGGGCACA